GGCCGGGGGCCGGTGCCAGCAGCGCTCATTCATCCGCGCCGCGCGGTGCCCACGCCGGTGGCACCGCCGGGCTGCGTGCTGGCCCCTTATGCCCCCCACCCCGACCCGGCCAGGGCTGCCATGGGGGGGGATGCTGTGGCCACAGGGGGTCTCCTGTCTGCTCCTGAGGCCTTGTGCCATCGCGGTCCAGTGGCTGTGATGTCATAGCCCATTGTGACCTCACCAGAGCGGCCTTATTACTTCACCAGCAGCCAGCTCCACTGGTGGCACAATGGCAACCCCCTCCGGCCCTGGATCCCGGGCCAGGGTCCCCCTGTCCCAGCCCTCCCACCGTCCCCAAAGACCATCTGACCCTGGCAGGGGCAAGCCCAGTGACCACCAGGTGACAAAGAAGCACAGAGGGGGGGACAAGTCCCCCGGGGCCACCCATCCTCCCACCCCGGGACCCACCGTCCCCAGCCCCGCGTGCAGCCACGGCTCCGGCAGTTTCCCACCGGACAATTCCCAGGGCATCGTTTGCCTAATTAACAGTGTGTGTCTTAAAAATCCCTTGACAAGTCCCCGGCCCGTGAGCGGCAGTGGGGGGGGGGGACGGGCAGGGGGTCCAGCTGCCCCAGGGGCAGGATCCAGCCAGGGTGGGTGAAGCAGCCACCCCACAGTGATGGGGGCTTCGCTTGGCACCAGCACCACAGCCCCGGGGCCGGCACAGCATCTCCCCATCTTCCTCTAGCAAAAGAAGAGCGGGTTCGCTAAAAGCCCCCCCTGATCCCAGCCGAGCTGGGACCACCCCTTTCCTCTCTCCGTGCCTCAGTTTCCCTCCACCATCAGCTTCCTCCTCCCAGGCTCCCCAACCCACGCATGACCCCGCGGTCCCCATTACAGGGTCGTTTAGGGACACGGGGACAAGCAGGTCACCCAAATCCCCCTCCCCATCCCCCAGAGACCCCCACCCACAGATGGGGCCCTGCTCACCCAGTGACTGCAAGATGCCCAGGGACAGGTCCCACGAGGGAGAGCTGCTCTGGGGACCCGGCCCGGGGCCTCTTCGTCCCCAAAGGCAGCGGGGACGGGGATGGGGACAGGGACGGGCTCGGCTCCCGCTCCTGCCGCTCTCCTCCCCTCGGCTGACATTCCCCGGCGGTGGCTCTGCCGCGCGTTAGCGCATCCATCTCTCCCCAGCCTTCACCTCCCAGAAATATTGCAGCGCGGAGCCGGCTCCATCTGGCAGCGCGGCCCCCGCCTCCCCCCGCCACCGCTCGCGGGGAAATGCCGGAGCCGGTTCCTCCGCTTGGGCCCCGGACGGCTTGGCCCTGCCAAGGGAAGATGGGGACCTCACCAGCAAGGGGGCCAGCTCGGGTGCCCCCTGTCCCACGCCGGGAAGGGACGGCGTGGCTTCATCGAAGTGGCCGGCTGTGATGCCGCACACAGGCCCCATGCTGGGGATGCGGCAGCCGGCTGAGCCCCGGCAAACTCGCCCCATGCGGGGCCCCTGGGAGCCACCCTGGGCCCAGCTGGCTCACAGCCGGGTCCTGGCACCACCCAGTGCCCGGCTCCCACCCCCGGCTCTGCCGGTGCCGACCCGCTTCCGTGCTCCCGCCGTGTCCCTCCGGATGCCACGTGTCCCCCGGCACCCAGCTTTGGGATGGAGCCACTGCCGCTCCAGGCAGGGTCCCCATCCCCATCCATCGCCTTCCTGCCGGAGGGAGGGGAAAGGACACGGAGGATGAATTTTGGAGGAGGAAAGAGATTCATGCATCAGCCAAAGGCCCTGCTGTGCCCACCAGGTGGCAAGACCCCAGGGGACCTGGCTGGGGTGGCCAGGAACCGGAGGTGGCAGTGCTGGGAAAGCTGGTCCCTGCACATGAAGACCAGCAGCAGGATGGGGACTGGACCCCTGGGGTCACCAAGCCCACCTCCCCCAGCCCCAGCCTCCTGGGGCAGGAGAAACCCCCCTCCCAGCCCCTGCACCCAAAGGACGAGCAGCCAGCCCTGCCCCTGCTCCCACCCTCCTCCCCCCAGCTGTGCCTGGTCCTGGGTTCACCCCAAACCTCGCCTCCTCCTGCTGACAGGGCAGCCCCGTATCCGCAGGGGCCAGATCCTGCTCATACAGCTCCCGTGCTGTGATGCCGGGAGCCCCGCTCACCACCCTGGATGAATCCCCCCCGCAAAGGCACCCAGGGACCAGGACGGGGCTGCCCCTGCCCTGCTCTGCCCTGGGCCATCACCAGCCGTGTTGGCACGGGGATGGCACTGGGATCCCTCCTCCTGCCCACGCTGTGGTCCGTGTCCCAGCACAGGCCGGCCAAGGGCCCCCAGCACCGCCCCGGCCCCGGCACAATGCAGCGGTTTGGGTTTTCATCTCCCTGCTCCCCTTTCATCTCCTCTCCCTGTTTCATGTCTCCACTTTCTTCTCCCTCCAAGCGCTGTGCATGCTGATGAGGCTCACGCCGGCGTCCACCCTTGCCGCTCGCCGGCTGCTAATTAGGCTGTAACGGATGCAACGGGCCGGGGGCTTGCAGCTTCCCCCCGTCCCCGCACGGGCCAGCCTGACTGCTCACGCCGTGGCATCTCCTCAGCCTCAGGCAGCCCCAGTGCCCCCGCGAGTCCCCCATGAGCTGCAAGCCCAGTGCCGGGAACCAGGGCACTGCCAGCTTCGCTGCCCCGATGCCAGGGGTGCAGCCGGGCTGGAGCGAGGCCGTGCCACCCACTGAGGGCCAGGGGTCCCCTGGCCTGGGAACCGTGGGCAGCAGAGTGGGGACTTACCCAGAGCTGGCAGGAACGGGCAGCGCCGGCGTGCCGCCGGCACCGGGCGAGGGTGGGCTCCCCGGGGCACGGTGATGCCAGCCCGGCACCTGCCTGCGAAATGAAGATGGCAGCAACAGAGGGAGCTGAACGGTGCTGCGGGGAAGGGCTGCAATGGGCCGGGAGGCCGCCCAGGAATCAGTGCCCCGGCACGGCACCGGCACCGGCACGGCTGGGGTGGGCCCTGCCTCCCTGCGGGCCAGCTCCAGCCCAGGTGCCATCTGCTCGGCCGCAGCCGTGAGTGACAGTCGGAGGGTTCGGCAGCGGGAGCGTGCGGGGGGGATGCTCGCTGCCGGTGGAGGCCCCTCTGTCACATGCCAGCCCCGGCACCTGCACCGGGGGAGCGGGCGACGCCGATGCCGCTGGCACAGACCCGGTGGCCGGGCATGGCCAGCCCTTTGTCTGCGTGTGGGCACAGCCCTGGCCATCACTGCCACCACGTCCCCGCTGTGCCCACGCCAGGGCCATGCCGGCCTCGCCTGCAGCGCATGGCCAGCACGTGCCGGCATGTGGCACCCTGCGCCCGCTGCCCCTTCCCCTGCCTGCACCCCTCGAGCCGGGCAGGTCCCGGCCTTGCCAAGCTTGCGGAGACAGAGGGGATCCAGGACACCAGGACGTCCTGCGGCTCGGCCCCGACGGCTGCAGCCGGGAGCGGGGCACCAAGCGATGGGATCCGGCTCCCAGGGACACAACGCACCCGTTACGGGCTCCCCGGCCCCGCTGCTGCCAGGCATGAGGGAAATGGCAGCAGCCATTGCTGGCTGCACATGCACCGTGGCGGGGACAGATTTGGAGGCCGGGGGGTGACGGGGCACTGCCGGACCGGGGTGCGGGGCTACGGCAGGTGAGGAGGCTCCCAGCAGACAAAGGCCTCGCCGGCTGTGCCGCAGCACGGCTGGGCCACTGTCACCGTGGGACCCGCAGCCGCGGGGGGCTTGGACCCTGTGTGCATCAGGGAGGGCGTACACATGCACGCGTGTGCAAGTGTGCGTGTCTGCGCACACACGCGTGTGTTTGCGTGTGCCCGTAGGAGCGTGCCAAAGGCCGGCTGCGGCTGTGTGTGCCGGGCTGTGCCATGGGGCTGCAGAGAGAGAGAAGCTGGCGTGACTGCGGCCGATGGGGTGCCGGTGGGGGCCATAGGGCGGCGAGCAGCCAGAGGGGCCACGTGCCACCTGCGTGGGGTCCCACAGCCCCGCAGCCACCTGCCCTGCCCACGCCTGCACCTGCAGCCCCCTGCCCGCGCCAGTATGGCCAAACCGGGCACCGCCACCACCGCCACCTCCCCGGGGCCCTGCCCGGCCGCAGCCCCCAGCACGCGCCAGGCCCTCGGCACCGCAGCCATCCCCGCTTGGCCGGTGGCTGAGGGTGGGGACGGAACCAGGCGAGCCGCCGCGGTATTTTGCGGCGAGCCGCAGATGCCAGCTCCCAGCGAGGGTCCCCACGGCGTCTCCCCCCTCGCCCCTGCGCCCGCCGGCCGCCCCCGACACGCTTGGCCCAGCCGGGATGGCCGGTCTCCCCCGCCGCCCTGCCACTGGCTCCATTGTTCAGCCCGGCCCCGCCATCGCCTGCATCTCGCCCGGGTCCCATTTTGCGGCGTGTAGGCAGAGCTGTAGATTTGGAAGAGGTTTTTTTTTTTTTTTTTTTGAGTACAGAGTGACAGATGGCGAGTCCTCCTTCCCCAGAGAGACAAATCTCCCTGAATGCAAGCGCATGTCAATCATTAGCTCTCATGTGATAGCTCTCGCGCATGACGTGCCAACCATATGGCACTGGCAGCAGAGCTGGTACCCCCTTTGCTGGGTAGAGATGCCACTCTCGCCTCCTTTTGGATAGAGGACTGCAGGAGGCTGGAGCACCTCAAGGAGCCGCGTCCCGGTCCCAGAAGATGCTGGGAACAATGAAATAAGAATTCCTCCGGTCCGCCCGAAGGTGAGTTATGTAAGAAGTGGAGGGCTGGGAGGGCAGCGGAGGAAACTTGAATGGAGAAAAGGCAACTTCCATGTTGATTTTGTTTCTCCGCCACGTCTCGCCCTTTTTTCCCCCGTCTTTTCGTTCTCCCCCGGCCCTCTGTTCTCCCGTTCCCCGTCGGCCCCGCCGATGGGGTTT